TAAGTGTGGTAGCCCTCAGCCCACAAAGCTAATTTGCAATAATCCTCGTCAGATTTCTTCAAGCCCTGTCGTCCACAGAATGTTGAATTGCCTAGGTGGTCTCCGTCTTCGAGTGCTTCTCCTCTCCTATTTAGTGGGATAGTTAGGGTTAGGGCTCAAACAAATTTTTGAATGGCAGTGCAAATGAATTGATCATCCCAATTGTGTTGCTATGTGTTTATACAATGGAGGGTAACTTAGGCAATTTATGTCTTATCCTATTATTTTGTCCATAATAGTAAATTAGAGGTCGCCGGTCTGGACTGTGCCTTTTCACCAGCGAAGCGACGATTGACAGTGACTTTCTCCTGTTTTGGCACTTGGCTAGGTCAATTGGAGGTATGGCCTCGATTTTGTTGTTTTTGTCTCGGTTTTTCTATTTAGTCCGTGAACAGAGGGCTACTTGGCGAGTTGGATTAGGGGGTTCACGATTGGTGGTTGTAGTTACTGCTGGGGTCAGGTTGCTGTTTTCGGTTAGTGCTCAGCTGTCTGGTCGTGTTCAGTCATTTCGGGCTGAATTGAGGCGTGATTGCTGCTTCTCGTGATTGGAGTGCAGGACAGTTCTTTGGTTGGTCCTGGGGTGCGGGTTCTGCCTTGCTAGGACTTTTGCAGTGGCGGGCAGCTATTTTCGTGCTTTTGAGCTATCTGTGGAGTTGGTTTGTCTGCCGTCAATCGAGATGTATTCGGCAGGGGAGGCTGTGTCCTCCTGCTTGTTTTTGTTTTTTGTATTAGTTCTGTGTTTTAGTTATTAGTGTTGTTTATTGTATTTTTTTTTTTGTCTGGGTCGCTTGGCCTCTGTGAGCCCAAGTGTCACCTTATTATCCCGTTGGGATCCGACACTCGGGTATTACCCTGTTGAGGCCTTTTTAGTTTGTTTTAGTTTAGTTTGTGTTTTGCAGTTGTGTAGTTGGTTAGTCAGTTGCGAGTGTTTTTATTTTAGCGTTGCTAGTCGGGATTCTAGATGGTCTTCTGACATGTTCTCCCATTTTTTCAATTGTTGGCTGTTGTGTATTCGCACATTTGTGCATTTTGATTTATAATATTATCTATCATTCTGGAAAAAAAAATCCCGTAGTGTAAACATTGGATTGATAATGACCTGTAAATTAAGCTGGATTATTTCTTATAATCCAATCCTTCAAAGTAAACGACGCCTTATTATATGGGATTATTTATCATTTGGTAGATGATAGTTTTGCATTACAAAAATGCTTACTTGCTTATGCGGGATTCAATAACTCTCACATTGCTCATTATATCGCTCTTTTAATTGCAGGTGTGTTTAGTCCTTATAAAATTGGTTTAAAAAAAAAAAATTCTTTGATAACGCTTGTGATAATACTGCTTCTTTGTTTGATATTAGAGATATTTGTCATCCTCTTTGTGGTTGAAATCTTTTTCATATTTGTTGTATTTGTCATGTCTTTAATATTTTGTGTTCAATCCAGTTATAATGCTTTGAAAGAGACGGTTGTACCCATAAGGGAGACAGGTATATACTTGCATTGTCGTTCTCAAGAAATAAGAAAATGTGTAAGACATTTTAGAAAAGCTAACTGTATACCCAAAATAAATTCAACTGTACGTTTCTGACTGGTTGAACCCAACTTACAAAATTTTAATAAGAGCATGTGAATTTGCCTATTAATTAGAGACTTTTTTTAGTAGTCCTGAGCATCGTGACTGCAACGTCACCCTCAGTGCAGAGAATTGGGAGAATGTCGAACTCTTGTACAATTTTTGGGAACATTTCAAATTGTTACAGACTTACTTTTTGGTATTTACCGCTCAACTTTTCATTGTTCATTGTGTAGCCGTAATGTGTGGTTTTAGAGAGATTTTTACTAGTGATCCTTATACACATCGTGGCCTTGTCCATGATATGTTGTGCAATTGGTTAAATATTATTCTTACATTACTGATATATTTTTTATTGCCACTTTGTTAGATCCGTCTATACGTGAAAGTGGATTGTTCAACCAATTTCACACTAGTTAAGAACTTCTGTATCAACTCACACTTTTCAGTTTATGTTATACATGTCACTGCACAACCTATTCCCCTCGTCGTGCAAGCAAAATATTTATTGTACGACTTGTTTAAGGAAACAACAATCCGACTACTTCTTTTATGATTGAGCTTCATCATTTAGTTCATACAAAAATATAGGATTGCAAAAAGTAAGGGGACTGGATATGATGAACTCGATCACTTCTTGATCGCAGATCTCAGACTTACTATGGACAAACCACCGGTTCCGCCACTCACATTCGATGTCTTAGATTAATGGTAAAAAACGAAAACCACTTATCACGTTCCATGTCTGATGACCAAGTAAATTTTTGTTGTCCTGATCTCAATTGTGCTTGTTAAACAAATATTTAGTGAAGGAGGATATATTCTGGACATACGACTGTCAAGGTTAGCGCCACAAAATTTAGAGAATCAAGTGCTATTGAGCGATTGAAAGAAGGTTGAAAGAAGAGCATAAACGACCATACTAACGAAAGAGAATGATGAAGAGCTGGATGGTTTTTGTACTAGACTACTAGTACTGGAACTGGTGGAACTGAAGACGAGTACGACTATGCATACGGTTATTAGATCGTTCGAAGTATCATGCATCTTCTTCATCAGGGTAAGTAAAGTATACGAACTATGAGAACTTTGATTTTCAAGGTAAGAGCTATGAAGACAACTTAATTGAGATATTATAAGTTAAAATATTATTATTGAATAGAAATATATTTCAACTTAATTGATATTTTAACTTACAATGTCAACTAAGCTCAAGTCCAAATTTATTATTCCCCTCTCCCCAATGGGAAAATTACATATATAGACCCCCATGTAGAAATATTTACATATATACAAATTGGGTAAACATTAATCAAAAGTGGATTATGATGTGCTTTTTATTTCATCTATACGATATAAATATCTTTATCACCTAGTATCTCTCTCTCTCTCTCCATAAAAATTTGATTCTCTCCATATAAAGAGAACTCTCCATAAAATCAGATTCTCTCTCCAAATAAATATCATGCAATTAATTTGTGTGGAACAGACAGAACCACAATGATTTTTTTGTTAAAAAATATCATACCAAATATGATTTCAACAATCTGACTGAGGAAAAAAAAAACAACTGAAGGAGCTGCTAAAAAGAAAAATTCATTGATTTTCGTGAAATCTCCTTTTATGAAAAAATTCAGATGCACTATATATATTGCCTAATAACCCAAATATATGTTCAGATATATTATATATATACATTAGATAAACATGATCTGATAGTTATCTAATATTAATCGTATAGTTATACATAAGATAAACAACATATAAACAATTCTGAAATGAGATTAAACATAATACACAATTTTGAATGATCACAAAATTCAAATCGAATGTAACTATACATAAGATAAACAACATATAAACAATTCTTAAACGAGATTGATTGACCTCACC